TTGCTATTTGCCGAAACTAACGTCACTCTTTCAGAGGCTTTGCCATTCGTCGGTTCTGACGTCAGGTCTTAAGCAACTCTCACACAACGTTGGCACTCCGGAATGCAATGCTGCTCGTCCATCCATCGGAGCACGGAGAGGAAACATGCCACCCCGGCCATCTTCCCGCAAAGGGCAATCTCTTTACGGGGATGCATTAGTCACGAATGCGAAGGTGGCGGCGTCCGGCAACACATAGAGCACGCCGAGAAAGTGATAAACAATGACGCCAGACCTTACACCTCCCTTCCAAGATCCATTAATCTAAACCAAGATTAATTGGACTACAAACACAAAACGAGGTCCGGCGTCATTACAACACCACAAAATTAAGTCATGCACACTTCAAGGGTTACGCGAAATATAGAGGTATGAGAACATCATTGAACACTCAACGAGTCCACGAGACAATTGTTCATTCCCTCCACGGGAGTTCGTATTGGCACACAAAAGTCACAGCACTTTTCGTGTGGTCCACGAGGCCACATTCCACGCCTGCTTGCTATGGTGCTCGAGCCGGCAATGCTTCCCAACAACCGTTAGGGAGCCTAGATAGGGCATCCGCATTAGTATGGGTACTGCCCTTGCGGTGACGGATTATCACGTTGTAACGCTGTAGCGCTAAGGCCCAACGTGTGAGTTTTGCGCCCTGGGGCACGCTGCTTGTAAGGTACGAGAGCGGGTTATGGTCGGTAACGACGGTTGCCTGGGTGCCGAAGACCCACGTCTCAAACTTATTTAATCCCCAAATCATCCCGAATGCTTCGCGTTCGATCGTTGCCCACCGCTTTTGCGTTGGCGTAAACCGATGACTAGCGAAGGCGATCGAAATTTCGGAGCCGTCGGCGGCTATCTGTGCTAAACAGGCACCGACGGGCACCATCGAGCCATCAGTGTGGAGCACATACGGCTTTCCCGGGTCAGGGGTAGCCAGCGACACGGCTTCCCAGGTAGCACACCACACTGGGCCAATATTGCGCCAAGCCAGGCATGCTTGGTCCAATGTTGGACCAGGTTTGCCATTTTATGGCCAACATCGGCAAATGTTGGGTGAAACTTGGTTTGCTCGGCCGTTATTGCCAATTTTAATCATTATTCTGCCAATATTGGCTCAACATCGGGTTATATCGGCTAAATCGGGCCGTTATTGCCAATTTCAACCATTATTCTGCCAATATTGGCGCAACATCGGGTCGTATTGGTTAAATCGGGCCGTTATCGCCAATTTGCGCCATTATTCTTCCAATGTTGGCTCAATATCGGGTTATATCGGCTAAATCGGGCCGTTATTGTCAATTGTAACCATTATATTCTGCCAATATTGGCTCAATAGCGGGTCATATCGGCTAAATCGGGCCGTTATTTCCAATTTTAGCAATTATCCTGCCAATATTGGCTCAATTTCGGGTCATATCGATTTGGATTGTTGACTAAAGTGGGTACTGGAACGTGACACAACCGTTGCCAGACTAAACTGTCCAAAACTCTGGTATTACCGATAATCGCAACTCCTTCGTGGACACAGTTCAACCACTGGTGGGATAGGACCATTAAAAAGGTTAACGACAACCATTCAAAAAATTAATTCTGTGCATGGTTCGTACAAGTGGTACGCGTGGTACGCCCTTAATTCGCACTTCACGCAGCGTCAATTTTCGGCACCTGCCGAAATTCGGAGCGCACAGCATTGTAGGTGGCGCCACAGCGTGTCATCTGCTTGGGCCTAATCCTCGGGGTGCTGTCGCGACTGCCACGTATACTTGTCGCTTCCTTTTGATCTGATTCGACAAAAGCAGCTGGCACACGTGCTAAACACGACCATGGGAACATCGTCCCTAGCGGGCTGTCCTTTGCTTGCTAATCTGTGCCACAATTGTTTTTGTTGCTCGGGCAGTCTCTTTACATGACAGTACAAGCTACTCAAAAAAATCAGCCTAGCTCCTGTTGCCTGACGAAGTCTAGAGTATGAGAATACAGTCAAACGTGGACATAGCAAGTTCAATGCTACAAAATTTTCAATCGAACGAAACTACTATTGCGTTGTCCACAACTCCTTGCTTACGCGGCGAGCAAGCTTGTCTGCTAGGCGCGCACAGCAAACGACAGCCGCAGTGGCGTCACGCCAATGTCGTATGCTTGATTTTCTGTCGTCTGGTCAGTGGCAGGTCGTAGCAATGGCCAGCCCTTTTCGGCGCCTGTCGGCAATTTACTGCCGTTTTAGGGATGAGGACAAAGTGTATCAAAAAGAGCAGAAATACGTCGAAAAGTAGGTTATTTACCCTGACGTGAAGCAGTTAACTGTGAGAGGACATGCACAAGTCTCGGCCGCCATGAGTTTCGTCGAGAGACGCGGAACCCGAAGACACTATGAAGCTCATGTCTCGCCTCCACATTTCCTCGCTCAACTGCAGCAGACCAAAATGGGCCCACTTGCTGCTCGTATAGGCATTATGCATTTTGGCCTCAATATACCAGGCTGAGTTCTGTCGCAATTTCAGTTTAACCAAGTGAGTGTGGCTCAGAAGAGAGAGAGAGAGAAAAATAAAAGCTCTGAGGCAGCACTATCAAAGTTCAGTCTTCAGAAGGAGTTTTGCTGCACAGAAGCGCTGGCAGGGTTACTTTACGGTAACAGGTCTCACAAAATAGCATGACCAGTTGCACCGGCGGGGCTTATTACATAGCGAGTCTGTCTGCTCCGTGGAACTGTGCAAGTGGCTATACAAAACTCCACATGCTTTATATAAATGCAGTTTTAGGCTATATAACCATTTTACACAGAAGTTCAAAGAATGTGAAAGAATTCATACTTGTTAGAGATCCATGTAAGGTCCACATTTTTCCAATGCTAAACGATTGTGATATCCGTCCCCGAGATATCTATCCACCAGTCACCCACCTGCAGTACACTCCGACACATTTTCTCATGAGATCTCTGGACGTAAGCTACTGTTGTCCCAAATAAAGGCTAGTTTCGAAGAGCATATGCGGGAAGTGAGCTTGTCTGCTAGTTATGCAGAGCAGACAGTCGTGTGACGTCAGGCCGAGCTCCTGGGAGGATAGGGCAAACAATGTCCGCTCTCCAGCAGGTCTTTTATTACAGCTTCTTTGCCTTTTCTGCGGTTGTTGGAAGTTTACTGCCACCTCAGGGGCGAGGTGATGTTGGGTGAGGATGCGGCATACAGAAAATAGAAGCGGAAATACCTTGATGGGAAGGTATTCACCTTGAGATAACACATCCAAGCCTCGGCCACCATGATCCATGGCCAGAGACGTCGGACCCTGTGGTAGGCCAGAGACGATATATAGGTGCCATGAAGCTCATCTTTCTCCTCCACGCATGTTCTCTCATTATTATTATTTTAGTTTTATTATCTAATGCCCCACACAACCAATAGGTCTTGGTGTAGAGGCACAAAGAAAAAATTGAAAAACACAATCAAAACTACCTGTCCACTTGCACAGAGCATGTCCACACCTGAGCATCGTACCGGCTGCGCTCGTGTAATCACATACTGGTGATGCACGTTAAAGACCCCAGGATCGCAATTGTACCGCACTGGCCAAATTGCCCATCTACAGCATGAGACATGTATTAAGATGGCTGACCAACATAACGCTGTTGGTCAGCCATGCCCTCAACAGAGGGCCCTTAAGAATTAATAAATTAATGAAAAGATCCAGGTCCATTCCACGTTTGAATACAATGAAACGTGATCAAACAGGCGTGACGGACAATGACGAAGGACAGAACACAAACATGCCTTGCCCTTGTCCGTCACACCTGTTTAATCATGCTTCACTTGTACGAACTAGCACAGCGCACCACTTTGCATGAATATAACGAGATCAGAAAGCACATCAGTAGCAGGGGATAATCTGTTAACACAAATTTGCATTCGAACAACCGGAGACAATTTCACATGAGTAGAAAGTAAAACACATAACGGCCCCTAAAATCAGAAGACAATGCATGAAAATTAAGAAATTATGCAAAATCACCATCCAGAAGGCCATGAATGGTTCTACATAAAAATAATGCATTGTAAGCAATTCTTTTTTATAGGTTCTGCAGGGAAAGTATTTTAAGGATGTATTTATACTCGTAAGTACATAGGCTTCCAAAGTACTCATCATAAATAATATGAATAGGTCGCTTTTGTGCCTTTTTCTATGTGTCATGTCAAATCTAATCGAATTCCAAGCCACAGTACAAGACTTAAGTTGAACTTAAACTAAGGAACAAACTAGCCTAACAGCACATGCAGGATTAGCACCATCCAACGGGCTTGTGATTGGCCCCCTTGGCCTGTAGCTTCACCGCTTAGTCCAGCTTAGGGCGAGACGGAGTATAGAAGTTCACACAGGGCACAAAATACACCTGGAGATGCTCCAAGAGTCGACTGATGCCTGACAGTGCCACTGCACATGACACTTCACCGTCAGCTCAAACACTGGCAACCACTCGCAGGTCGCCTGCTTGAGGCCCTGTACAATGGGCTTGGCAGGCTTCATGAACAGCTTGAAAGGACCTTGAGTGACGATTGGTAGCACTGCTGCACACAACACTCCACTGTCAGTTCAAATGCTCGCAGAAACGCACAGTCTGAAGGGTTGGCACCTTGCATGCTGCACTTGGAAGATTCCTTGCACAGTTCAGAAGAGCTCTGACGGACGCCTGGCAGCATTGTTGCACACAACACCGCACTGTCGGCTCGAATGCCAGCAGCAATGCACAGCTCATCTGCTTGAGGCCTTCCACACAGCATTTGGGAAAGCTCTCAGTCAGCTCAAAAGAGTCCTGATCAACATCCGGCAATTTTGTTGCCCACAAAACATAACTGTCAGCTTAACTGCTGACACTAGCGCACAGTTCAATTGCCAGAGGCCTTTCAGAATGCAGCCTGCAGAGGTTGGAAATCATACGAGGGCCTCAAAGAAGCTACAAAAGCTATGTTAAAAGCCTACAGCAGATGTAGAAGTGGAAGGATGACATGTCTGCTTTTGTAGTCCAGTCTTAGGTATTGAACAGCAGTGTCAAGTTCAGAAAGGTTGTACATTTTAGTCACGTGCGTGAGGGAATCGCACTGCCAGATGCCGATGGCGGACGACTTGATCGGCAGTTCAAAAAAATCTGTCATGTTTGGCAGAATGCTTGCCTTGAACCTGTCTTCAAGGAGCTTCAAGACGACAACTGCAGACTCGTTCAGCATGAAGCACTGACCTGCTTTGACAATGCGTTTCGGTTCCGAAATCTCAGGTTGATACAAATGTCTGACTTCAGACATTCGTCTGCTGATCTGCGCTAAAGGCTTGCTTGTTGAACGTAGCATTTTCTTAACCTTACCCAGGAAACTTTCAAAAGGAAACGCACTAAAACTGTCAAGAGGGCCATGGTCCAAACACTGCTCAGCCAGATGGCTGAGCGTGTGCACGTTGTAAACGAGCTGCTTGGCCCCATACAAGGTGCCAAACTCCTGCACAAAGTACCTAAGAAGGTCCCTGGCAAATCCGTTATAAACCTCGTAATGTGCAGGAGATACAAGAATTCTCACTGCCACATGCAGCTTTAAAAAGTGACGGTACTGATCGTTTGGCAACACATGCTTCAAAACCACAGGTCCCACATACATGAGGAAGCTTCGAAACTCTGTGGCCTTCCACCGGTCAAGTTCCTCAGTGCCTCTTGGCTTCCTTTGAAAGTTTCTGGGGAAACGCTTACTGCAACTTCGAAGTAAATCATTCAAATTTTCACGCTGCTGTCGACTTAGGCGTCTCCCGAACCCTTGGCTAACCCAGTTTCTCAGAAGGCACCGCATAACGCCAAGACAGACGAGATGCATGTACTCCGTAGGAAACCATGACACCATGTCGACATCTAAAGATTCAAATGGCGACGTTCCCGTGTGATGGTGCTCGTCTTCCTGAGACCGGAACGACTCGTTGGTGCGTTGTGGTGAGTGTAAATCAGGAAATGTCATTCGACCCTCGAGATGCAGGCCCCTCTGACTGCACCGTTCGCAGGCGTGATAGCCAGTGTGCCCAACTATTTGCTTGATAAAGCTTCTTGCGGGTGCGTCGCACACCATGGCCGTGACGCTGACAGTGATGTGGCTCCCCTTGAAGACCATGCCATGCACTGTGAGCTTGCGGGCTTCTTCAAGGAATGCGTACAGGTACTGCTCCAGATTTGGGGGCTTTCCTGTGCCGCAGTATAAACTGACCATAAAAGGTGACGGCAGAGGAGTCAAATTCGTTATCCGGCATAATAAGGGCCAGAAGCTCACCTGTGAGCTTTTGAACAGGGGCAGACCGTCAATGTTCCCTTGGAGCGTAATCTCCTTAGGAATGGGGCAGCCTTGCAATGACTGACGGATGCCTTCTTCTAAGCCGAAATGCACAAACTTGTCACATTGCTCTAGTCGGGACTTCCGTTTTGTGCACAACACAGTCCGCGCGTCTTTGGGTAGTCCGGCAATGCCTCGACGCCGACAAAGGCAAGAACATCGTTCAGACATACGTGGCTCATGTTGTGCTTCCCAGCAATACTTCGAGCTCGTCGCATGCCGAGAGTTCATGCGGCTGGGATGACGACGTAGTGACAGCGTTCGGATTCGCGCTGCCGTTTGGTGGCTCCGAGTTATGGTCAGCGCTTTCCTCTGACTGGTACTCATCGCTCGTATCGTCTTCCGACGAATCATTTTCTGAAGAACTCGCCAGCACGTCAGATCTCGAGACTTCAAAGCTCGCCGACTGCACCTGGACTTCCAAGTCACCCAAACAGCCAGCTTCACTGGACTGGAAAACGCCTCCGGCTGCAGGTTTATCAGAGCGCGCAACATCGCTGGAAACGGCATTGCCCGTCAAACCGCCTTCCGTTCTCGGCTTCTTGCAGCTTGCAGCTTGAAGATCCGCCATGAGCTGCTCATGGTCCTTCTTGAGCTTCCGGTACTTACGCCACTTGTTCATTATCAGGAAGTAGCGCACCAAATGCAGTCTTTAACACGGCGAAATACGAGCCACAACAGAGCAGAGGCGCAGACCACTGTGGTGCAGACGCAAGTTGTTGCCAGATGGTCCCAACAAAAAACCGCCAAACGCCTGGGTGGTATAGCCCGAATATAGCCAAAACTAAAAACAATGGTTTTTAAGCCTTTTTTGACAATTTTTCACACACATAAAAGACACGTTACATTATCTTTTTCAAGCCCCAGATGCGCCACATTTTGTGCACATTGTCACTTGCGAATTAAAAAAAAAAAAAAACACTTCGGAAGGAAGAAAACAAAACTGTCACCTCCTTCGCAGGTCTTCAGAAGTACAAAACACACAAAGACAGTTTTATCGTGAAGCCTGGGATATGATCATTACAGTAAACGAACAGAATACAGAAGCAGAACGGTAACACTAGGTGTTTCAAATAGGGATCACAATATCTAAGGTCCTTACCAATATCCTACCCGTCTCTTTTTCTTTGTGTAGAATATGAGTGTTCCCCATTTCGGTTCACGCTATTTCTGATTGTGTTGTCCTTTCTTGGGGTGGGCGAAGACTGGAAGGTAGTCAATTGTTCAGCGGTGAAACTGCGGACTTTATATTTACGAACTTGGGTGCCTAAGGATTCTCTCAATGGGCACCAAAGCACGCTTGAACTTTGCAGAGTTTAGTCTAGGTCCGAGTAGAGGACGCCCTACCACTGTTTGGTTTGCTTCACCGCGCACTGTGGAGACCGCTTGAACTGTGCAAGCATTGCTTCTGTGCGCATTGTCAAAACGACGAAGTTTATAGAAGTTAAAAGCCGTTCTCTTTCCTCTCTCTTCTATCGAATGGCCAAAAGAGATACAATTTTTTTCGAAGCTGATAAGAAGTTCAAAAATTAACTAGTCAAACCTCAAAGTTCCACGTCGAAACTGAGGTTTCGACAAAAGTTCGCCGCATCCTTAGAAGTAGCCCAAAAATAGCCATATAGAACAGTCACCGCAGCCGCCGCAGCCACGCACACACTGGATATAGCGCTACATTGGTCGGCCATCTTTGTGTGGCGTGTGCTGGCGTGGTGCACCCACAAAGGACTACAACTTCCAGGGTGCACCGCGGCCGTCGTCGGATTGGTCCATTGTGACATCTCGATGATAGCGTCACTTGCATCTGTTAGTATGTTTTGCCGATACTTTTTAACCAACCGCCAGGATCGGGCTTTCCGACAGCATGACAAACGTGACGTGGTCGGGTTTCCGCATCGCGAGCAACTTGATACATGGGAAATATAGGACAGTAAACGCGCCAGTAGAAGACGCGTTTCAGGCATCACAGTTCCCACCACGCAAAGGCCTTGTCCTTTGTCCCTCTTGTTCCCCTTCTTTAGGGATTATTTTCGTTATTCTTGTCCAGCTCGCTTGCACCTTTGCATTTAATAGCAATTTAATCGTAAGTCTGAAGAAGAGGTCTCTTAGCGGAAAGTCGGCCACATTGTGAGGCTTCCAGGAGACTTTCATTTAAGTATGCAGAGGTTCGGCCATCAAATTTGAGTCTACAACAAAGGTGTGCTGCGAACATAATAACGTATTTCGTGCACCATGCTGTAGAAGGACCAGGCGACAGAGCCCCACAGTGCCATGGCCACAAGTTTATTTTGAGTAAAAAGAACAGGAAGCATCTGTGGGCAGAAAAGCACACACAGGAGAGCGCTCTTTTCATATGCGGGATTACCGCGCATGGGGCAGAAAGAGCAAGGTAATCCCACGAACTACCCGAAGGCGAACGACGTGACGCATTGAGGCAAGTTGCAGCCCAACGAAAAGACATGCAGGATGCGGCCAATGTCCATGTGACCGAGGTGGGCCCATTTATGCTCATTGCTGCCCCTATGTTCGAAGAATTACTCGCGCCATCAGAGGTCACGAGGAGCGGTACGGAAGGGAGCTGATATTTTTGAATGCAACAAGTTACTGAAAATGTCGTAACCCCTGCCTTCGCCCTCCCAGAAAAAGATTGCTTCTTCCTGAAGAAGGAATTGTAAGTACCGTAGCCAAGCCGGATTTCGACACCCAGCCGGCCCCTCCAAAATTTGTTCCCCATAACGCGGATCCCAAAAGGCCCAAAAACTGATTGGCGTTCACTCTGTTAGACATATGCCTAAATGTAGTCCATGCGGCATTGTAAGCGGGTCCCATGTCAACCACCGTTATTAGATCTAATAACGGTGATGTCAACGAGCCCCTCTACCTCGTTGGCCCATATATGTAAAAAAATTACATTTGGAAGCACGTAATTTTGCGTGATTTAGCGGTCCCGCTTCACAAGAAATACATGTTAAAAATTTCGGTTACTCGTACAACAACTAGCGCACTGCTTGTTTTAGAACTTCCATCTTAAACCGGAGACACGGCAAAATGAAAAAAAAACGGACAACACAACAACAGTTGTTGTGTTGTCCGTTTTTTTTTTATTTTGCCGTGTCTCCTGTTTAAGATGGAAGTACTTCACCAGCTCGCCTGTGCGTTTACCCTTTCTTCGTTGTTTTAGAATACTAACTAAAGAGTGCAAAATACTGTATAAACAGTTCATAGAGGGCGCGCTAAAACTTTTAGATTACGTTAGGCTTGATGACTTCATAGAACTACGTCTATTCATGCCTTGTTCTTTGCTTCTCCCAGCCACCTTCCCAGTATATCCGGTCACAGCGCATCCGGTCTCGGCCTCGTGGCTCGTTTTATTAGGGCTAGTTTCATTGTGTCGTGTTGTGCTGGAAGCTACTCGGCCGATCATCGGTGTGCGTTTCCTCTCGACCTGTGACCTGTCTCGAAGTCTTCTGGAACATTTGGCTGCGAAGAGACGGCTTGTTTGCGTAAGTATAATGTCCTCTAATGTCCTAATAGCGGTGTACAACGTTGATATGGGAGATGCTGTTCCGGACACGACGGCGCTCGTCCGATAGGACTTTTGCTTTTAATGGATCATCACCGATTACCAATCTCTAATCTTCGCGTTTGCATTACAACACACTTCTATTTTCATCAAAGCTGTCCCGGGTGAGATGGACTGCGGCCGAGACATGTTTCGAGGAACAAGTAGTATTGACCTCGAATCGTCGGTCCGAGCAATGGACGGGGTTAGAGGACCGGTTTTGTTCGATTTGGTTCAACTAATTCTAGCAGGTACAAAACGAGCTTCCTTTAGGAACCTTGACGGGCTCCGGTTAGTTCATATCGGAGAACCCCCCCCCCCCCCCCCCCCCTAGCCCCTAGCCCCTAGCCCCGCGGCATCTCCAGTAATCTCGGGGGCGGCCTGGCAACCAGCGCGGAGGCGGTGGATGTCGGATTTGTAGCGTCTGCTTATCATTCTTTTGCCTTGTATTGCCTCAGCCGTTACGGATACAGCTTGAAATGTGGAATTTCAGAACAAATGCACTTCTTTGCGGTGCACATACATTGTTGGTAAATCTCCAGGAGGCTAAGCTAAAACACGGGCCGGCTCACTCGAAGCAGCGTCTCATTAAATACTGTTAAGAAAGCGCTGTCAAAGGTAGCGCTCAAAAAATAAATCGCGCATCACGCGCTCCAACCTTGACAGTGCTTTTTTAAGTCTGTCTCAGCTGAGACTGTATTCGATCAAGTCGGCCCTGGGCAGCGGTCTTTCCGCGCGCTTTAGTTTACTCTATCGAGCTGTTTCCACAACAAAGGAGGACCTTTATTCTGCGAAAGCACACTGGAGCAGCAGACATTGTCATTATGATGCCTTCGACAACGAGAACTGACTTAAGCGATGTGAGGCGTCCGGCCGAAAATTCGGAAGATCCAACAGGAATGAAAACGCACTCGTGGGGTATCAATCAACTTACCTT